ACCGTGCTGCTTTTCGGGTATGTTCAGTTATTGTCCCTATTATAGTTAGCCAATGAAGGTAGTGTTAATTATACCGACCAATCATAGTGTCTTTCTGTAGTTGAAGAAAGCAAAACAAAATGTCGGTCGATAAGTAAGAAAGATATTTTTTACATGAATAATGGCAGCAATTAACTCCAACAACGCTTCAAAGATCAAAGACTTGACAAAAATGTTAAAAATAAGTTTAATTTGAAATGGTTAGAGAACACAGTAAATGTGAATATCGGATCAACGAGACAACCGTCCGCATTCAGGTTTTTTTTTGCTATATAACTGTAGCCGTTTAAAGGCTACTTCCCCAGTTGAAAAAAGATTCCCCTTGAGCTAAAAAAATTGCCCTTGGCCGAAATAAAATCAACTATTTTCTTCTGTTATGGCTTGCTTGTTTAAAAAATAACATTTTTGTTCAAATAGTTTTTTATAGGCCTACAGTGTTTGATATTACTGATTGTCCTGCAAGAAAAAAAGTCCAAGCGTTGCCGACAATGGGCTGATCATATCTCTAAACATTCTGTCTTTGTGAAAATTCTACTCAAAATCTGCAGAAATTTGTAAAAATATGTTATTTTATTCATTCTTACAGATTTTAATCATTGTCTGGAAAAACATGGAGTTATATTTAAATACCAAAAATTGGAAAAATATTCTATTATCACATGTTTTAGCGACCTATTTGCTGTTTGATTTTCGGCTTGAATTTGGAGAGGAATGTGTTAGTTTATGTAAATAAATTATAAAACATAAAACAGTTAATTGATTTTTGTACATTAAGTGTCAAAATGTCCTTTTGAGAATCATCATCTAATTAATTTAGCACTTAATGCAGTTTTTACATAGAAAAATCAAAGCAATCATTCTGAAATAAATAGGGGAGGTGTGTGAGGAGGTTACAGCAATGTTGAAGCTTGTCAACATTACAAATGACTCAAGTGATTCCAACTGAACTTCAATAGAGTGGTTTTGTATGTTTAAGGAAGTCAAGGCCAAACTGATGGTTCTGAAATCTGTAGGGCTGTGCATTGCCAGTTTTTTCTGTCACGATACATATAACGATATTTGTTTTTCAAAACGATGCGATTCACGATATGTATTGCATACTTTGAAGAAATGCGATGCATATTGCGATTCTTATGTTGCGATGCAATACCTATCATGATACTGACTTTGAGACTTAGTATATACAAATTTGGCCATTTGTTTACAGCATAATTACGAATATAATATAAAACTATTACAATAACAAAAAAAATAAACTCTTTAACTTGGGTTTCCGATTTTGATCTTTCAAGAATTTACTTTTCTGATTACTTAAGGATTAAAGGTATTGTTAATTATACCATAACAGCAAATAGATATCTACTATTCTAACACTAAAGTCCACTACTGTAAATATGGCAGTTTAACAATTTCAGTCTAACAAAACACCACTAAAGATTTTTATTGTGAAAAAATAGTAACAAGTGATTTACAATTAGGTCAAGAGTTTTCTCCAACCCCAAAGTATTTTATTTTGAGTTTGCAAATTTTGCAAACACTCCACGTCCGGTCTTCCAATTAATACAAAACTGTCTGATGGTTCCCCAAAAACTACTCGTGAATTATATGACCAGGGAGGATTAACTATAGTTTCCCTTTCTATATATTTTGCAGTGTTTATTTGTTTTGTTGGGGGTTTTTTACGAGAAAATGATGTCAACGGAGATGAAAGTATAAATACGTGACAAATATCACATGGGAATGTTGTCATCATCACTATTTTAATCTGGCATCAAGTGCGACTAAATAAAATTACAAATTCATGTTTGTAGGTTGGTTTTTTCTAAAACGCATAGATCTCTTATTATGTTTTTATTATGAACACCAGCCCATTAATATGGAATTGATAAAACTTGGTTAGTTACCGTGAAATGATTGCGCCGTTTAATGATTGCGAACATGGGGAAACGAGATGACAACGATGATATGATAATAGTCGCGCTTGTTCATTGTTTTCATCCGAGCTATTTTTCTTTCTTCAGTCTTTCTAAATATATGTTTGTCCTTACATTCCTAGAAGATATTGTTAGTGTATTGCGATACCTTCCCGCTGTATTGATACATCGGGAGGTGAAATATGTATTGCATCGCAATATATTGGAATTTGTAATTTCATTACGATGCATACATCGGGGACAAAGCAGATCGCGATGCATCGATGCATCGTTACACCTCTAATAAATAGTTTTTAAGATAATCAGCGGCATATGTGTCATTCGACATTTCTTGTTTAACTCCTTAAATTTTTAATTATATTGGAATAAAAGGTTCACCATCGTGCTACAGAGGGCGACAACAAGGTAGCTACCTCATAGGTCAAGGTTTTAACATAACCAGCAGTCTTGCAATTCTCACCTAAAAGATTTGTTAAGCATAACAAAAATAGAGTTGAAATCAAAGTATTATTAGTTAAAACAGGAGATATCACTAAAACCCTCTGTAAAGTAATTTGCCTAAGGCATGATACAAGAAACTTTGTAATATATGAAGTCTTAAGTTACCCATGGTAACCAAGACCTTGACCTAAAAATTCACCACTGCTGCATTGTCAATTAACATTCACACGGGGGGAGGAAGTGTTACACGAGGGATGGAGTTTTAATTATACCCCCGCACAACAAAGTTGTAAGGGGGGTATACTGGAATCAGCTTGTCCGTCCGGCCATCCGGCCGTCCGTCGGTTTTTTCTTGTCCGCCCAATAACTTAAGATATCTTTGACCCGTAGTCTTCATATTTGGCATGGAGGTTAGTCATGATTAGTAGATGACCCCTATTGATTTTGAGGTCACCAGGTTAAAGGTCAAGGTCACAGGGGCCTTGACTTCAAAAAGCTTGTCCGCCCAATAACTTAAAATTCCTTTGACCTACAGTCGTCATATTTGGCATGGAGGTTAGTCATGATTAGTAGATGACCCCTATTGATTTTGAGGTCACCAGGTTAAAGGTCAAGGTCACAGGGGCCTTGACTTCAAAGAGCTTGTCCGCCCAATAACTTAAGATTCCTTTGACCCACAGTCTTCATATCTGGCATGGAGGTTAGTCATGATAAGTTGATGATCTCTATTGATTTTGAGGTCATCGGGTCAAAGGTCAAGGTCACAGGGGCCTTGACTTGAAAAAGCTTGTCCCCCCAATAACTTAAGATTCCTTTGACCCACAGTTTTCATATTTAGTATGAAGGTTAGTCATAATGAGTAGATAACCCCAATTGATTTTAAAGTCACCAGGTTAAAGGTCAAGGTCACAGGGGCATTGACTTCAAAAAGCTTGTCTGCCTAATAACTTAAGATTCCTTTGACCCACAGTCTTCATATCTGGCATGGAGGTTTGCCATGATAAGTAGGTGACCCCTTTTGATTTTGAGCTCACAGGGTAAAAGGTAAAGGTCACAGGGGACTTGACCAAAAAAAACTTGTCGCCAAATTACTTAAGATTCCTTTGACCCACAGTCTTCATATTTGACATTGAGGTTAATCATGATGAGTAGATGACCCTTATTGATTTTGAGGTCACTGGGTCAAAGGTCAAGGTCACAGGGGCCTTGACTTCAAAAAGCTTGTCCGCCCAATAACTTAAGATTCCTTTGACCCATAGTCTTCATATTTGGCATGGAGGTTAGTCATGATTTGTAGATGACCCATATTGATTTTGAGGTCATCAGGTCAAAGGTCAAGGTCACAGGGGCCTTGACTTCAAAAAGCTTGTCCGCCCAATAACTTAAGATTCCTTTGACCCACAGTCTTCATATTTGGCATTGAGGTTAGTCATGATTATTAGATGACCCCTATTGACTTTGAGGTCACCAGGTCAAAGGTCACAGGGGCCTTGACTTCAAAAAGCTTGTCCGCCAAATAACTTAAGATTCCTTTGACCCACAGTCTTCATGTTTGGCATGGAGGTTAGTCATGATTAGTAGATGACCCCTATTGATTTTGAGGTCACCAGGTCAAAGGTCAAGGTCACAGGGACTTTGACTTCAAAAAGTTTGTCTGCCCAATAACTTTAGATTCCTTTGACCCACAGTCTTCATATTTGGCATGGATGTTGATCATGATAGGTAGATGACCCCTTGTGATTTTGAGGTCACTGGATCAAAGGTCAAGGTCATAGGGACTTTGACTTCAAAAAGTTTGTCCACCCATTTACTTCAGATTCCTTTGACCCACAGTCTTCATATTTGGCATGGATGTTGATCATGACTATAAGGTGACCCCTATTGACTTTGAGGTCACTGGGTCAAAGGTCAAGGTCACAGGGACCTTGACAAAAAAAAGCTTTTCTTCTCAATTGCTAAAGAATGTCCTGTCTGCAATGTATTGATTTTGACATTTTCACATTTGAAGCTTTTAGAATACATAACTTAGCAATGCACTGGCTTAGTAACCTCAGATTTGGCAGGGAGGTTGTCCTTGAGCTCTAAATGGCCACTGTTGATTCTGACAAAGTGGTATGTGGGGGTATTCACACCAAGATAGTGGCAGTTCTAGTTTTAATTTAGCACCTAAACTCACTTTTTAAAGATAAAAATTACCATTTTTGACGAGGGTTTTTGCAGTATATACATAGTTTTCCGACGAACTCCGTGACAGTTATCACAAGAACTCCTTGACCAGTTATCATAAGAACTCCATCCCTCGTGTAACACTTCCTCCCCCGTGATTCATTTACTCTGAAAATGACATTGTTTTGTGCAACATTTGCTTGCAACTTCATATCTTATTTATTTGCTTTTGAATCTTGAAATGTGTTTGTGATCCGATCAATATTGTTGGCCACTGGCCTATGACTCTAGAATTTAACTGAAACATTCCCCATTGTTAACTTCTGATTTAATTAGATTGACTTTAATTGACTTGTGTTCAGTAGTTCAGTATGTTAACCTATAAAAGTTTTTGTTATCTACACATCTGTTTAATTACAGAGCTAACAGAGATAGTCCATTGTTCAAAAATATGTGTCAGTCAGATTGTGCAATAACTCCAGGACTATATGCCATGGTTGGTGCAGCAGCAGCTTTAGGTGGTGTCACAAGAATGACAGGTGAGTTTTTACTCGACTTGGTATTAAAATTAACAGGCCAAACCTGGCTTAGTATCACTGATAAGTTGGTACTTTGCATGTGTTTAGCAGTAATAGACATCAATCTTAATTATGCTTCCCGAATGGTGAGCATATAGTCGCTGCTTTGTCTATCCATCTGTAACAGTACAGTTCCTTTGATCCTATTCGTTCCGTTTTTACTTGTGTGTCTTTTTAGCTCACCTGTCACAAAGTGACAGGGTGAGCTTTTGTGTTCGCTTTTCGTCCGTCGTCCGTCCGTCGTCCGTAAACTTTTACTTTAAATGACATCTCCTCATAAACCACTAAGCCAATTTCATCCAAACTTCACATGAATGTTCCTTTGGTGGTCACCTTTAAAAATTGTTCAAAGAATTTAATTCCATGCAGAACTCTGGTTGCCATGGCAACCGAAAGAAAAAACTTTAAATATCTTCTTTTAAAAAACCATAAGAGCTAGAGCTTACATATTTGGCATGAAACATCTTCTAGTGAGTGTCTACCAAGTTTGTTCAAATAAAAGCCCTGGGGTCAAAATTGGCCCCGCCCCCTGGGAGTCATTGATTTTCCCTATATGCATATAGTAAAAACTTAAAAAATCTTCTTTTAAAGAACCCAAAGAGCTAGAGCTAAGATATTTAGCATGAAACTTGTTCTAATGGGTGTCTACCAAGTTTGTTCAAATAAAAGCCCTGGAATCAAAATTGGCCCCGCCCCGGGGGTTCATTGATTTTCCCTATATGCATATAGTAAAAACTTAAAAAATCTTCTTTAAAAGAACTCAAAGAGCTATGGCTTAGATATTGAGCATCAAACATGTTCTAATAGGTGTCTACCAAGTTTGTTCAAATAAAAGCCCTGGGGTCAAAATTGGCCCCGCCCCAGGGGGTCATTGATTTTCCCTATATGCATATAGTAAAAACTTAAAAAATCTTCTTTTAAAGAACCAAAAGAGTTAGAGCTAAGATATTTAGCATGAAACATGTTCTAATAAGTGTCTACCAAGTTTGTTCAAATAAAATCCCTGGGGTCAAAATTGGCCCGGACCCGGGGTGTCATTGATTTTCCCTATATGCATATAGTAAAAACTTAAAAAATCTTCTTTTAAAGAACTCAAAGAGCTATGGCTAAGATATTTAGCATCAAACATGTTCTAATAGGTGTCTACCAAGTTTGTTCAAATAAAAGCCCTTGGGTCAAAATTGGCACCGCCCCGGGGGTCATTGATTTTCCTTATATGTGTATAGCAAAAACTTAAAAAATCTTCTTTGAAAAAACCCAAATAGCTAGAGTTAAGATATTAAGCATGAAACATCTTTTAGTGAGTGTCTACAAAGTTTGTTCAAATAAAAGACCTGGGGTCAAGATTGGCCCCGCCCCGGGGGTCATTGATTAATTTTCTTTATATGTGTATAGCAAAAACTTAAAATCTTCTTTGAAAAAACCCAAATAGCTAGAGTTTAGTTATTAAGCATGAAACATCTTCTTGTAAGTGTCTACAAAGTTTGTTGAAATAAAAGCCCTGGTGTCAAAACTGGCCCGGCCCCAGGGGTGTCATTGTTTTTAACTATATGTGTATAGTAAAAACTTAAAAAAAATATTCTTTTAAAAAGCCCAATGAGCTAGAGCTTAGATGTTTAGCATGAAACATCTTCTTATGGGTGTCTACCAAGTTTGTGCAAATAAAAGCCCTTGGGTTAAATTGGCCCTGCAACATTTGGGGGGGGTGGTTGGGGGGCCTAAATACAGGTGAGCGACCTCAGGGCCATCATGGCCCTCTTGTTTAAGCATTGTGTGACAATATCAAAGGAAAAGTCACATAAGTACTATTTTGTTTGTACATCCACCCGTCCGCTATTCTTGTCCGGGACATAACTTTGAAACAACAAGGGGTATCAACATGAAACTTTGTAGGTAGATAGATCTCATTGAGTAGATGTGCACAAAAACCGTTACTCTGCCTTGCCTTATTTTTTAATTATTGCCCTTTGTTTAATTTTACACTTTGAACATTGTCCGGGACATAAGTCTAAAACCATAAGAGGTATAAACATGAAACTTTGTAGGTAGATAGATCTCATTGAGTAGATGTGCACTGCACAAGAACCGTAACTCTGCCTTGCCTAATTTTTGAATTTCTGCCCTTTGTTTATTTTTACACTTGGAACTTTGTCCTGGTCATAACTCTAAAAGTAAACATGAAATATTTTTACATTTTGAACTTTGTCCGGGACATTACTCTAAAACTATAAGAGATATCAACATGAAACTTTGTAGGTAGGTAGATCTCATTGAGTAGAAGTGCAGTGCTAAAGAACCATAACTCTGCCTTGCATTATTTTGGAGTTATTGCCCTTTGTTCATTTTTACACTTTGCACTTTGTCCAGGACATTTCTCTTAATCTAAAAGAGATATAAACATGACACTTTGTAGGTAGATGGGTCTTATTGTGTTGAAGTGCATTGTTAAAGAACCATAACTCTGCCTTGCTTTATTTTGGAATTTTTGCTCTTTGTTCATTTTTATACTTGAACTTTGTCCAGGACATTACTCTCAAACTATAAGAGATATCAGCATGAAACTTTGTAGGTAGATGGGTCTCATTGTGTTAAAGTGCAATGCTAAACAACCATAACTCTGTCTTGCCTTTTATTGGAGTTATTGCCCTTTGTTCACTTTTATATTTTGAACATTACCCGGGACATAACTCTAAAACTATAAGAGATATCAACATGGAACTTTGTAGGTAGATAAATCTCATTGAATAAAAAGTGCAGTGCAAAGAACCATAACTCTGTTTTGTCTGATTTTGGAGTTTTTAACCCTTTGTTCATTTTTTCAAAGCTTTCTGTGACCAAAACTAACTCAGGGAGCATCACCTGGTTCAACCTGTGCTTGTTTTTTGATAATAAAATCTTATAAAGTTTGATAGGAGATGTACAAGATTCAAAGCAGGCCAAAGTCATAACAACCATTCAGCAGGATAAGGAAATGAAGAGTGCTCTGTATTTGTTTATTTATTATTATTTATTTGTATAATGGAGAAAAGTTATATCTCATTATCTTAGTTATTATATGATTATTATGTTTGTAAATTATTTCAGTTTCATTGGTGGTGATAATGTTTGAGCTGACGGGAGGACTTCAGTATATTGTACCCCTAATGCTCGCCACCATGGCAAGCAAGTGGGTTGGGGATGCTTTAGGTAAACAAGGAATGTATCCTTTTACTTAAGAATATTTGTCAACTTACATTGATGTGGATTTTGTAGTTCTTATTGTTCTGTTTCTGACAGTATGCTACAGGGAAAGTGTTGTTAAAGTAGCGCCCTAAACACCCTAGTGTGAGACAGGTCAATGGTCAGGTATTGGGCTTGGTCATGTGGAAGACCTTTGCAGCTTTATGTTATTTTGTATGCAGCAAGACATTGTATTAAAATAGCAATATTAAGCTTGGCAATATGCCAAATGCCCCAACTGAGAAACTATCACTTGTACAACTGAAAGACCCTCTAATGGAGACATTGTGATTTAGATCATACTTTGCTCTGAAAGTTATATTTCTTTATACTCAGCATAAAATGCAATTTTACTATAAATATTTTTTTCTATATTATTTTTATGTAATTTGCAAATTTGTCCTTGACCGCACGATATAGCTATGACGCACATATTCGATTAAATGGTTATCCATATCTGGACAATAAAGAGAGTTTTACTCATACCACGATAGCAGCAGACGTCATGCGTCCAAGGTAATTTTATATTTCTATAGTCTTTTACGATAAAATGCTGTATTTTATATCTTGTGTTTGACTATGGCATACCTGTTACATAATAATACATTGGTCATCAGTTTTGTGAAAATTTTAGTGTATTTTATCACCTTATACATGTATGTTTTAAAACTGCATGCCTCCAAAAAAATTTATTTGGAAAAAATCAAGCATTTGGTTGTTTTTGTTCCTAGGTACTTACCTGTACTCCTGCTCAAATACTGCCTTTGGGTCAATGGATTCTTTCACGTGAGGAAGCTATCCAGCTTGTATACAGAACATCGGTGATTTTACTCAGGTGCCCGCTCATGCCAGAAATAAAGCACATAAGGCCAACTAAGGTCTTCTTCCAACTGTTAAGTTAGAAACCCAACAAAAATAGTTTTTATAAAGTATAATGATACTTTTATTTCAAGATACAGGTGGATTTGGAGTTTTATGTTGTATTTTTTTCTGTAACCTTATTTTTATATGCACCATACTTATAAGATTTTATAACTGACAAATTATGCTTCAAATGTGGTCCTTAACTTACTATCAGAAATTAAAAGTTTATGGCAGAAATACTGTTTTAAATTTATATAAATTATAAAATGTATATTTACCGGTATTATGGATTCTGTCATTTAAGTATATAATTACAAATATAGATTATTAAAGAACAGAAGGTAAAGTTGTGTGCTAGATTGAAGTGAAAAATTTTGCTAATTTGAGTCATTTGTAAATTGTTAATACCATATTTACTAACAAAAAAGGGCACCAATACTACTTAAGTAACCTCTTACAAAAAGTATAAAACTGTTGTTTTTTAGCTCCCCTGAGCTAGCTCAGGGTGTGCTTTAAGGACCATTGAATGTCCGTCGAATTTCGTCCGTCTTCCATCGTCTGCCGTCTGTCCACATTTGTTCGTTAACACTCTAGTGGTCACATTTTTGACTTAATCATCATCAAATTTTGTCAGGATGCTTGTCTAGGTAATTGTCGGATGAGTTCGAACATGGGTAATCTTGGATGAGTAACTAGGTCATAGGAACTAAAACAAAAAGAAAAATCTTGTTAATACTCTAGTGGCTACTGTTTTTATCCAAGCCTGGAAATCGGTCTGCAAGTTTATTTTGATGATTTTTAGGTCAAGTATGAATATGGGTCGCCTGGGGTCAAAAACTAGGTCACCCTGCCCAAATATGGAAAATCTTGTTATACCCCGCACAACGAAGTTGTAAGGGGGGTATACTGGAATCAGCTTGTCCGTCCGGCCGTCGCCTCGTCCGCCCGTCTGGCCGTTCAGCCGTCCGTCGGTTTTTCCTTGTCCGCCCAATAACTTAAGATTCCTTTGACCCACAGTCTTCATATTTGGTATTTAGATTGGTCATGAATAGTAAATGATCCCTATTGATTTTGAGGTCACTGGGTCAAAGGTCAAGGTCACAGGGGCCTTGACTTCTAAAAGCTTGTCCGCCCAATAACTTAAGATTCGTTTGACCCACAGTCTTCATATTTGGTATTTAGATTGATCATGGTTAGTAGATGATCCTTATTGATTTTGAGGTCACTGGGTCAAAGGTCAAGGTCACAGGGGCCTTGACTTCAAAAAGCTTGTCTGCCCAATAACTTAAGATTCCTTTGACCCACAGTCTTCATATTTGGTATTTAGATTGGTCATGGTTAGAAGAAGATCCCTGTCACTGGGTCAAAGGTCAAGGTCACAGGGGCCTTGACTTCAAAAAAGCTTGTCCGCCCAATAACTTGAGATTCCTTTGACTCACAGTGTTCATATTTGGTATTTAGATTGGTCATGGTTAGTAGATGATGCCTATTGATTTTGAAGTCACTGGTTCAAAGGTCAAGGTCACAGGGGCCTTGACTTCAAAAAGCTTATCCGCCTAATAACTTAAGATTCCTTTCACCCACAGTGTTCATATTTGGTATTTAGATTGGTCATGGTTAGTAGATGATGCCTATTGATTTTGAGGTCACTGGGTCAAAGGTCAAGGTCACAGGGGCCTTGACTTCAAAAAGCTTGTCCGCCCAATAACTTAAGATTCCTTTGACCCACAGTCTTGATAATTGGTATTTAGATTGATCATGGTTAGTAGATGATCCCTATTGATTTTAAGGTCACTGGGTCAAAGGTCAAGGTCACAGGGGCCTTGACTAAAAAAAGCTTGTCCGCTCAATTGCTTAAGAATGCTTCGGTCAACATTCTTCATATTTAGTATTGAGGTTATTTATGACAAGTAGATGACCCCTTTTGATTTTAAGGTGACTATGTCAAAAGTCAAGGTCACAGGGATTTTAATATTATAAGCTTGTCTGCTCAAATGCTTAAGAATGCCTGTCCGCAGTGTATTGATGTTCACATTTTAAGCATGTAGAATACATAGCTTAGCAATGCACTGGCTTAGTAACCTCAGATTTGGCAGGGAGGTTGTACTTGAGCTTTAAATGGCCACTGTTGATTCTGACAAAGTGGTATGCGGGGGTATTCACGCCATGGCAGTGGCAGTTCTAGTTTAAGCTATTGTGGTCACATTTTTTGATCAATTGTCATCAAACTTGATCAGGATGCTTGTCTAAGTAATTGCTCGGATGAGTTTGATGGTTCATGTGACAGGGTGTTCACTAGCCATGAAATTTTGTCATTTTGACTAAGTTTTACCGACTACAAGGCAAAATCCCCTTGATTTTAACAATATTTGACCCTCCAGTTAAAATTCTGAGGGTCAAACCAGGCTTATTGGAAATTTGAAGGGTCAAAGGGTCATGTCAAGGGTCAAACGGACACCCTGGGTGAGTGATCTAGGGCCATCTTGGCCCTCTTGTTTTAGCAACCAGTTGAAAATTTTCACATTCCATTGGTTGATTGGAATTTAAAAAATTGAAATTGGCCAATCAGAACATTTACCCTATTATTTTGAGATTGTTTTAGGAAAAATCTTTATTGTGCTGTTTTGATTTTTTAAGGATTTTTATTAAGGAATTATGCACAATGTGTATGTATGTTGTTTCCTTTCCATATTACATTTGCAAAAAGCAACTTTAAAAGTTATGAGAATTTGATAGCTATATTTTAATTTAGTTTGATAACTTGATAAACTTTCTTTACCTTTTTCCACCTTAATTTCTACCATGGACTTTTTCAACATCCATTTTTGATCATTAATTTTGGGGCCATCAAAAGTAAACTGTTAATAGATAATTAGGTTTGATGAAACTTTTTATTTGTACCATAAATATAATTTTGTGTAGCAAATTTTAAAAAATAAATATGTTTAAATCATTAAGTAGGAAATCAAAATAATATTTGTTGAAAAACCAAAGATCTGTTATGTATATATTGCACTGTTTTCATTGTAAAGATGTTGGCGCTATGGTCTCGAAGTGTAAGTTAGTTGTGAATGTCACTTTGTTGTGTTTATAGCAACTTTGCTGTGTTTTAATACTTTGGGTTTTTGTTGAACATTGTCATGATCACTTTTCAACAGACTTCTTGTCATTGACCATTATATATTTAAAAGCTTGGCCGCATGTTATTAATCAAACAAGAAGTTATGCTTGAAGAAGTAGTGCATAAATGACAAATAATAGCATGCTTTATACTTGCACATATGTTATTATACCCCCGCACAACAAAGTTGTAAGGGGGGTATACTGGAATCAGCTTGTCCGTCCGGCTGTCCGTCCGTCCGGCCATCCGTCCGTCGGTTTTTTCTTGTCCGCCCAATAACTTAAAATTCATTTGACCCTTAGTCTTCATATTTGGCATGGAGGTTAGTCATGATAAGTAGATGACCCCTATTGATTTTGAGGTCACTAGGTCAAAGGTCAAGGTCACAGGGGCCTTGACTTCAAAAAGCTTGTCCGCCCAATAACTTAAGATTCCTTTGACCTACAGTCGTCATATTTGGCATGGAGGTAAGTCATGATTAGTAGATGACCCCTATTGATTTTGAGGTCACTAGGTCAAAGGTCAAGGTCACAGGGGCCTTGACTTCAAAAAGCTTGTCCACCCAATAACTTAAGATTCCTTTGACCTACAGTCTTCATATTTGGCATGGAGGTTAGTCATGATTAGTGGATGACCCCTATTGATTTTGAGGTCACCAGGTCAAAGGTCAAGGTCACAGGGGCCTTGACTTCAAAAAGCTTGTCCGCCCAATAACTTAAGATTCCTTTGACCTACAGTCGTCATATTTGGCATGGAGGTTAGTCATGATTAGTAGATGACCCCTTTTGATTTTGAGGTCACTGGATCAAAGGTCAAGATCATAGGGACTTTGACTTCAAAAAGCTTGTCAACCCATTAACTTAAGATTCCTTTGACCCACAGTCTTCATATTTGGTATGGATTTTGATCATGACTATAAGATGACCCCTATTGATTTTGAGGTCACTGGGTCAAAGGTCAAGGTCACAGGGACCTTGACAAAAAAAGCTTTTCTTCTCAATTGCTAAAGAATATTCTGTCCGCAATGTATTGATTTTTACATTTTCATATTTGAAGCATGTAGAATACATAACTTAGCAATGCACTGGCTTAGTAAACTCAGATTTGGTAGGGAGGTTGTCCTGGAGCTCTAAATGGCCACTGTTGATTCTGACAAAGTGGTATGCGGGGGTATTCACGCCATGATAGTGGCAGTTCTAGTTTTAGTTGTTTTTATAATATAATGTAAATGTACATTATTTGGGTCTATCTATATCAGTCGTAAACACTGGGCCTGACTTTAAATGACATAACCATAAAATGATCATTGAATTATTACAGCCATATAGAATAAATGGACTTGAATACATAGTCCTACAGAATGACTTGATCACAAGTCCTGGCAAAGATACCCATACAGAATAGCCATACATAATGGCTTAATCACTAGACCTGGCAAAGATAGCCTTACTGAATGGACCTGGCAAAGATAGCCATACAGAATAACTTAATTTCTGGACCTTGCAAAGATAGCCATACAGACTGACTAAATCACTGGACCTTGCCAAGATAACCATACAGAATGACTTAATCACTAGACCCTACAAAGAGGGCCTTACTGAATGATTTAATCGCTAGACCGGACAAAGATAGCCATACATATTATGCACTACTTTAGAATAGTCATGCACACCTTGTTACAATACAAGAATTAAGCATGCTTTTCTGTAGTTTACCTAACAAAAAAATCATGATTATGTTCAACATAACAGTGTTTAACCCTTACCTTACCTGATTTAAAAAATAGATTTGCCTTACATTGAATTAGAAACTATTCATTGTTCATTGAATGGGAGCCAATATCAAAATGCTAATATTATAAAATCCAAGCCTACATTATGAGACTCAGGTCAGACTGCCAGGATAGTCAGACTTAGTACAGTCTTCCATTGTTTGAAGTGATGGTATAGGCAAGTCTTTTTGATGAACACAGGGACTATTCAAAAGGGTTAAATGCTGACTGAATCTATCTGCATGGAATGCAGCATTGTTTTTTTGATATTGATGATTATGATGCCTAGAAAATTGATTTGTTTTCATAGACTGCAAATGTTTTATTTACCTGCTTCAGATTTTGTATTAACAATTGTATAGCTAGTTCAATTATGGTTATGATGTATGGGGAAATATGCTCTCAAAGGTGTACCATTGCCCTTATTGTATGCATCATCAAAATAAAATATTATAGAATTATTATGCTTGCACCTTTTCCAGTTGAGATATTAGGGATAATATTCTCTCATTGTTAGCTCGACTATTCGAAGAATATGAGAGCTATTGTAGTCGCCCCGGCGTCGGCGTCGGCGTCAGCGTCCGCGTCGGCGTCTGCGTTGGTTAAAGTTTTTTGTAAAGTCAAATATCTCAATTATTACTTGAGATATTCAATTGAAACTTACAATACTTATTTATAGTAACAAGGCACATCAGATTGACAAGTTGGATAACTCTGCCTACAATATTGACAGAATTATGCCCCTTTTTAACTTAGAAATTTTGGTTAAAGTTTTTTGTAAAGTCAAATATCTCAATCAATGCTTGAGATATTCAATTGAAAACTTACAATAGTTATTTATAGTAACAAGGTACATCAGATTGACAAGTTGGATAACTCTGCCTACAATATTGACAGAATTATGCCCCTTTTTAACTTAGAAATTTTGGTTAAAGTTTTTTTGTAAAGTCAAATATCTCAATTATTGCTTGAGATATTCAATTGAAACTTACAATACTTATTTATAGTAAACAAGGTGCATCAGATTGACAAGTTGGATAACTCTGCCTACAATATTAACAGAATTATGCCCCTTTGGAACTTAGAAATTTTGGTTAAAGTTTTTTTTGTAAAGTCAAATATCTCAATTATTGCTTGAGATATTCAATTGAAATTTAAAATACTTTTTTATAGTAACAATGTTCATCAGTTTGCAAAATTGCATAACTCTGCCTGCAATATTTGCAGAATTATTCGCCCTTTGAAACTTAGAAATTTTTGGGTTAAAGATTAAAGGTCTTCAAAGATATTTACTTGAAACTTTACACATGCACTTTGGGTCATAATTGGAGGGTCATAATTGTATGTCACTGACCAAGTTCCATAAACTCTATCTTGCATTAAGGCTGATTCATAATATTATCCCCTTTTCTACTTAGTCTCTTGGTTAATGTTTACATGCAAGTTTTACATATCTCAATAACTATTAAAGATATTTATTAAAAACTTCACATATGCATTTAGGGTCATAATTGTAGGTCACTGACAAAGATCCATAATTCTATCTTGCATTTAGGCTGATTTTTTCTCCCCTTTTCAACTTAGAAATTCATGGTTAAGTTTTTCTTGTAAGTTGTTATCTCAATAACTACTGAAGGGTTTGTGCCTTTTCGGGACAATTTAATGCATTCATAATAATAAAGCAGTGATTTACTTGATAAAACATCTTAATAACAAGCCTTTGTACCTTTTCTGTCAAATTTATTTATTCATAGGTAATTAGTATTATTATACTTCAATAAAACACCCTTGTGACATTACCATCCGAATAGTCATGCCAGTACATGTTATCATGAAAAAATACATTTGTAATTTGTATAACAATTTTAAAGGCTTAAGTCTAAGTTGTAGCTACTTACATCGTATAGACATCATAGATGAACTGCTTGTATTTTTACTCCTGTTGTTCATTTTTGATTCTCACCATTTTATGCTTACATTTATTTTATTGCATTTTGTTAAGTTATTGCAAACATGTTATTATAATTTTGACACAATTGTTACAGCATTTGTTTCGTTGTTTGTTATTTAATTCTATAATAAGATTCTGACATTTATAGAGTTAAGCTTTCTGTAGTGTAAGGCTATGCCTGTATATATATAGTGATATGCATACATTGGTCATCTAGTTTCAGACCCAGTAGCTAGGAAAAAAGGACGTACATGCATTTAGAAAAGAAACCTTGACCTTTGAACTTTCTCAATGAAGAATAAACATGTTACATAATGTTGATTGAAGTGCTTTGTTAATATGATAGAAACATGTTGACCCTGTGATTTTATTGAAATCCCAATTATTGCTGACAAAATTGTTTTCATTAAGGCCGAAAACATGTCTTTTAGTCACATGATTTCTTCAAAAGGTATGGGTTATGGTTGCTAGACAAAAACCTTTTAGTATGGTTAGTGCTTAAAATATGCTATATTTTATGCAAAGCTCTGTTTTTTATTTTATTTTTGAAAAAGGGTTGGGGTTAAAAGAGAAAGGTAAAAATTTAATTTTTGGTTAAAAAATAGGAATTACTGGCTTTATTGAAAGGGAAATTGAAATTGAACTTGCAAAGTTTTTTGCAAATTTTTTTTAAATATTAAAAATTGTTGATAACTGATCGGGGGTGGCTAACAGATTATAGGGGATGTGTAAAAGGGGAAATTTAAAATGCTTTACAAGTTATTTGTTTTGTGTTTTTGGTATGGAAAAAGAAATAAAACTGTTCCCCTGAGGGGATAAAATATTTTTTCTTAAAATCAAAAATTTCATATATAAAATCTAGTTTTGAAAATTTTTCCCAGACGAAATGCCCCAAACCACTGTGTTTAAAACAAAAAAAAAGCAGGGTCTCGGAAAAGAAATGGGAAAGGGTTAATTTTTTAAAAATCCCTTTGCAGGTTTAAATGACTTGAGTTTACTCTCAGTAAATTATAGTCAGGTTAGTTTGTTTACCCATGCATTGCTGTAGTAATAACTATCTTTTGTCAAAAATGGGGATTTTTATATTTTAAATTATTTAATGCAGCTGACACGTAAGAATCTAGCCAGGCAACAGTGCTAGAAAAGCTTGATTTTACTTGTTAAAAGACGCAAATAATCTTTTGATAGAAGTATTATATTAAAAAAAAAGAACAGGTTTTGCAGACTTGAAATAAGTTTTTCTAAAGATTATTTCTTGTAAAATATTTGATATCATTTCAATTTTTTAGATTTAAAAGAAAAAAAATGACCAAAATAATGTTGTGCCTATTGAAATGAAGTTTCTCTGTTTTCAGAAACATTGTTGAAGGAGACAGAACACAATGGTTTCCCTGTGGTGGTCTCCCTTGATTCCCAATATCTGGTTGGCTTTGTTACAAGAAGAGATCTACAATTAGCTATAGGTAAATAATAAACTTTTAATTGTTGTTTTTTTTTGTTTTTTTTTTTCAATCGATTTTTAATCAGACCAGCTTTGTTAAAATCGCTGTCAGGTTTTTTGAAATTTAGTATGTCTCCTCACTATTCTAAATCATGATATGTTTGTGATGTTTCTCTTAAAGCTCAACAAAATGATGCTTCAGACTTGTGATAGGGGCCTTTTGGTGTATTTTAAACTTTGGTATGATCTATTAAAATTATGACAATTTGTATTTGTAACGTGTGATGTGATACTTCAAATTGAAACTACTATATACACAAGTATAATACTTTAAATTTTTTATAAATACTTGACACTCAATATCTGTTATGTAACTTCTTTTCAGCAAATGCACGTAAGAACGTGGAGGGCGTGGTCAGTGATTCAATAGTTTTCTTCTCTAATCAGATCCCCAGTAATACAGTAGGACCTGCCCCTTTAAAACTCCGAAAAATATTAGATCTGGTAAGTTTAATGACAAAATTTATTAATTTTTTTTAAGACTAAATTAAAAATTACCTTAAACATTTGCATTTGATTATTAATACTGATAAATTAAAAATTATCTTAAACATTTGCATTTGATAACTAATACTGATAAGTAAGTAGAATTTGGAATAGTCATGGATCCTGTATTGTTTTTGTCAAACTCTTTTGTGCTTTTCAGGCTCCTGTTACAATAACAGACCAAACTCCCATGGAGACAGTCGTAGAAATGTTCAGAAAACTTGGCCTCAGACAGACTTTAGTTACTGTTAATGGGTAAGTTACAATTGTTGAACAGTACAAACTTGTTATCCCTTATAGAAGGATGTATTGTTTAGAAGACATTTTAAGCTTTGTATGAATATAAGCTTATATTTGATTCCGAATTTTCTTTAACACCACACAGAACTTGTGAAATGATTCAGTAAAGTAAGTTGTTAATGTACACTTTTTTATATGCATTTGTATGTTCTTATACATTCATACATTTAACTCAAATGTAATATTTGAATTTTTTGTATTCTACTTAATTTCAGGCGACTACTTGGCATAATAACTAAAAAAGATGTATTACGTCACATAATCCAGCTGCAGAATCAGGACCCAGACTCCATCTTGTTCAACTGATCATATCTTATCATTGTTGTCATGGAAACATTGTTGTTATAGAAACAAGCAGACAGTACACTATCTTGTGATCATCATAAAAACACTGATCACAAGGTGAACAGCCATTGTCAGATTATAACTGACCTTGATATTGTCTATGAACAAAGTTTTATTTTTGTTGTCATGGAAACTGTACATGCTTAGAATTTGTTATCAAACTGAACATGTTTTGATTTTGTTGTCTTGAAAACCTATCATGTTTTGAAATTGTTGTGAATGGTAACTTATCATGGTTTGAATTCATTGCCATTCATGTAAAGAATTAGGCAATGTAAGGTTCAGATGATGACTTTAATATTGTAACAGAAATAAAAAAAATGTAAATGTTAAAAAATTGAATTTTATCTAAAAAGAAATCTGATTTTTGTTGTCTGGTGAAGCAGCTGAAGATAAAGTTTACCTGCTTATATTGAATAAATGTTAAACAGAAAAACAGACGAATTTTACTAGGAACATGAGTAATGATATGCTAGATTAAGACAAAGAACAGTTTAGAATAATTTACTATTGTTGCTATTGTACTTTATTGTTGCCATGGTTCTAATGCCTGTGTTGTCATGGAAACTCTATATTATTCAATCTGCAAGTCCATCTGTCTGTAGTAACTTTTAAATATGGATTGAATAATTATAAAATAATGTTGTAAGTCATGCTGGAAATTTTAGGGGTGCAGCGTAAAATGTATTAAGGGTATTGTAAAGTGTGGAGCCTGATGCAAAACCAGTTATATTGCATAGAAATAGTGGGAATAATAAATGTTTATAGTGATGATGATATGTTTTATTATTGTTTTATATTTGATCAATATTGTTAGCTAATAAGTGCTTGTGGTTGCTATGAAATTGCTATATGCCCAGAGATAATGTATTTCCATTCAATTTTCTTTGATTGATAGTTAAGATTGTTGAAATGAGATTACTGTAACAAGTTGTGTACTTTGATATGAGGTGTGAGCACTAATATATAATTAACATTTCTTTTATTTTCAAGCCAAAATTTATTATATACAACTAAGATAAAGTTTAAGAAAAGGAAAGTTTTTACATTTTTGTCATTGTAACTATGTTATTTTTATGGAAAAGAACTATCTAATTGTGTGACGATTGGATTAGCCAAAAGAATTATCAGTATGAATAGAAAATATGTAAAGCACAACTTTGGAGGAGAGGATTTTGTTACTTAGTTAAAGGAATTAATGGTAAATAAACAAAAGGAATAACACATCAACACCTTGGTATGAAAGACAAGATGTTTTATTAGATATACTGGTTCCAGTCTTTCTATTTCTTTTACGAAATTAAAATAATGTGTTATTTTGGTGTTTTAAGGACTGTTGTTTAAAATGCAATTTATTTATTAATTTGGTGATATTCAGATTCACAATTTATAATGTTATAGTAATGAGTGGTTCAGTTTAAATCCAATTTTTTAATCAAATGTAAGATATAGACAGCAAATATTTTGTAAGCAAGCACTTAAATGAGAAGTTTAAAAATGTGTAAAAAATGGAATTATTGTATGAAATGTAATGAATTTTTAGAATTTATGTATGGAAATTGTAAAAACAGGAATATATATAAAACTACAAGGTGTGTTGCAACAAAATATTAAACCTGTTGTACACAGTGTCTTTTTTAATTATAAGTTAAGCTTAATATGTACATAGTGTGGTGATATTGAATAAAGTAATCTGATGCACATGCTGCAATACTGTAAATTGTGGCAACTTAATTTTTTCACATTGTAATACTTGGACAGTATGATTACCTGTTTTCAACACAGTGTAAATGATGAGAAGGATGGTTTTCTGTTGTACAGAATGTGTAATGATTAAGCATATGATAACCTGCTGTTCATAGTTTACAATGTACACAGTGCATTGTTATGAAAATGTGCAATCTTCTATGTACAGTCTTAAGCTTTGCTCTGTATTACCAGTTACACTTGGTGGAATGAAGTAATGGTGTAAAATGTGGTTACCTGTTGTAGCCAGTGTTATACTGTACAACATGTTTATTTGGTGTACGCAATGTGATTATGTAAAACATGCTTACCTGTTGTACACATTGTAATTCCACATATTGTAGTACCACAATTAATTATAGCTTTTTGTACACAGTGTAATTTAGTAATTATAGGCTGAGCTTATGGGATGATTCTAGATCATATCGTGAAATATACATGCTGCATACTGTAAATAATTTTGACCTGCTGTACATATTTCAATGCTGAAACTGTTCATTTACCTGTTGTGCACAGTTCAGTGCTGAGAAATATAGTATAATAGTGATTTATACAAAGTGAAGTGGGTATGGCATACGGTCACCTACTGTTCACAGTGTATTGCTTGAATCATATGAACTGTATGCTTACCAGGTATACACAGTGTAATGTTATACAACATGGTTATCAGGTGTACACAGTGTAATACTGTTCAAAATAGTTACCCGATGTATACATTGAAATGTTATACAACATGGTTATCAGGTGTACACACTGTAATACTGTTCAAAATGGTTACCCGATATACACCGTGAAATGTTATACAACTGGTTCCCTGGTATACACAGTGTAATAATATACAACATGGTTACCAGGTATACACAGTGTAATAATATACAACATGGTTACCAGGTATACACAGTGTAATACTGTGCATAATAGTAAGCTGATGTACGCAATGAAATGTTATACAACTTGGTTCCTTTTATACACAGTGAAATGTTATACAACATGGTGACCTGGTGTACACAATGTGGTACTGTGCAAAATGGTTACATGGTATACACAGTATATATTTAACAAGGCACTAAATGTACACAGTGTAACACCAATAAAGCTTGTAAACCTGTTGTACACTGTTGTGCCAAAAGTTCCCAGAGAAATTGAGAGGATGGCACTGTAAGGCTTTGTCATAAAATCATGATCATGTGAAATAATAATTTTTTGTGTGTGTCTGAATCATGACGTGACTGTATTATTGTAAATTACATTTAGCATTCCATTAAATATTTATCTACCTTCAAGTTAAGTTATGTTATACTACTGGGTTTTATTTATCAGAGTTCTTTACTTATATAATTGAATTATGAAACAATCACTCTAATTTGTAGAATGTTGTGAAATTTGACACAGATATTTTTTTAATTTGTTGAGACTAAAATTGATAGTTTGTGGGTACAGTTTAAAATTATAACATTTAAGTTGTTTTATATGTAAGGGAATTATGAAATTGAAAAAAAAAATGAGATCAAATTAAAGAATAATTTATTCATATTTAGGATGTTGATATTCAAAAGAAAGAAAGTAAAATTCTGAGATAAAGGTGCGAGGAAATGTAAGCTTTGTCAATTTGAAAATAAACCATTCAGTTACAGATTAAAGTGACACCTAAATTGTAAAAGTTCTGTAACAAATCACCAAGCGAGAAGATTGCCAATATGCCATGTTTGCAACAAAACAAGTCATGTATGAAATAAATTGAATGTTGGAAGCTTCTTTCCTACATATATTTGGCGGCAATGGGAAAAATGATACTAAGATGTGATTTGTATTTAACATAATGATATTGTATATCTGTAAAACTGTGATAAGTAAAAACCCAGTATTTGTTTTATATGTTTTGCTGCTCACCTCAGTATGTTTTACTCAAGTTGAATATGTTTGGTCTAGTTTTTCATAATTTAAAGTTTATTTTTGAATTTTATCGAGGGGATACATCATCGTTAAGTGATATTACCTTTGTTTCTGTTTTGTTAAAGATTTTTAATTTGTGACTTTAGTTATTAAAAAAGTCTGTTTTATGTAAAGTATGTTTTCACTCAAATGGGTGATTATTGTAAACATATTGTTATTATTTTAATTAAACAAAAAACATTAACAAATGTAAAGATACACTTTACCATAACATCTGCTATTTTAAAAGTTTGTTTTTATTGTCACAACAAACCATGGCATGAATATGTTAAATAATAGAAATATATTGAAGAATTAAATCCTAAAATAAGTTTAAAGGAATGCTTGCAACATTTTTTACAGGATTTTATGTGAAAGTCAATATTTGTTCATGAATTTAGACTTTGTTAGGTAGACAAATGTGAAGAATTTCTATTTAATAGGGAGTATTGTATGGCTATGTAGAATTATCACCAACATGTCGTATATGTTGTTTATTTATATCTGTATATATGTATGTCATGTTTTTTTGTTATTTTCCACTCATCTTCCTCAAACATTTATTCAGAAAGATTTATGTTTTACATTTTTTCCTTTATTATATATATTCTGTGATAAACCCCCATGATGTTTTATATATATAGTAAAATGCCATACATGATCAATTCATGTCAATATATACATACACGTATATGTCATAGCTATATGTTAATAAATGTTAATCAGTTATTTATAGACTGTATGCTTTCGTTTTACACTTCATAAAACAATATCAATGTGTTCAGTCCATCAACATGTTTTTGGTAATTTTGACATCTTCCCTTTCACTCAAGTTATTTTGGTAATTTTGATATCTTCCCCTGTCCTCTTAATTATTTATTTTTGTAATTTTGACATTTTCTTCAGGCTCTTACTGATATCTTTGGGTAATTTGCGCCTCTATATATTATAGTAATTTTGAAATCTTCCCTGGGGTTCTAGTTATTCATTTGGATAATTTTGAGATACATGTATTCCATTGTAATTTGTTTATTTTGTTAATCTTTAGATATTTTCTGTGTCTCTTGTGATAAACTTATTTTGAGATATTACTTTGATCCCCTGTGATTCTGTATATTTTGACATCTTCCCTGGAATTTCTGTGATTGAATTTATTATCAATTTTGACATCTTTTGGTCAAATTTGTACAGTGGTTGAATACCATTTAAAATTGAGTACCAAAAAATAATTTTTAAATAAAAAGTATGCTAAATGTTCCTGTATCTATTGGTGAAATGGTGAAACACTGTCAACCAAAAAAGTTTGTATCTGTATCACCGATTAAAGGTTTTTTTAGAAAAAATAAATGAATTAAAATCATCTGAAAGAATTCTAAATTTTAACGATTTGTTGATGGACTGGATACCTTTACATGTTAACGTATATATGAGGTTAATACTCGCACATTGTTAGGAAAAATAATGGCAAGACATAGATTTGATAAAGGAATATTCCCAAACATACAACTCATTATTTATGCTTCAGACAGAACTTAAACATTCTGTTTCTATTTTCAAAAACGATTTTATTTAAGCCTGGTGATAAACTCTCTTCAGTGTAATTTGACTTAATAATTGTCACAGGTTATCTTCACTTACGCTTGAAGTCAGACATGTGTGTTATGTCTAAAGTATACATTTAAGATTTATGTTATTTTCTGCCTTTGAAGGCATTACCTGTTGAAATACCTTATTTGAATTATTTATTATGTTCATAATTGACGTTTTCACAGCCATATTTCAAATCTAAATGCAAGCACCATTGTTTTATCTATTACATCAGAGACATACATAACATGTTATCTATGTCTCTGATTACATCCATTTATAATATTTTGACAGTTATGATAAACTAGATGACCATTTTACCTTATGAATTAGTAACAATTACATGTATAACCCATAACCTGCTGGAACCAACAAGTGATTAGCATTTGCAACAAGTTTAGAGACAGGGCAGCCAATATTATCTGTGGATTTTCAATTATTAGGTAAATAATCTCTGAATCTCATTAAATTTCACATTAATTACAAAGATAAGGTCAGATGTGAAGGTCAAATATCAAAGGTCATTTGTATTTTAAATGTTTACACATGTAGGTATTGTATTTGGAGTACTCATATTGAATGTTTTGTCTTTAGTGAAATTATTCCATTATTAAACTGATAACTGATGTGAGTTAAAGAGTTGTCTTTTCTTTCCATTATGTAAGGAAAATGTTTCTTTTCATTGTATATGTCAATATGAAGTTGTCTTCACGTGAAATATGGTGGTGTTGTTGGTAGTTTAGATATGTGGTAGTTTTTAGCTCGACTATTCGATAAGAATAAGTAGAGCTATTGCAGTCACCCGAGCGTCGGCGTCCGCGTCCGCGTCGGCGTAACCACTTATGTTAAAGTTTTTGTAATAGTTCAAATATTTTCAAAGTCTATTGACATATGGCTTTGAAACTTTGCACACTTGTTCACAATCATGACCCCAACCTGTAGACAGGAGAAGGTAACTCTATCTAGCATTTTGACAGAATTATGCCCCTTTTTCGACTTAGAATTTACGTTAAAGTTTTTGTAATAGTTCAAATATTTTCAAAGTCCATTGACATATGGCTTTGAAACTTTGCACACTTGTTCACCATCATGACCCCAACCTGTAGACAGGAGGAGGTAACTCTATCAAGCATTTTGACAGAATTATGCCCCTTTTTCGACTTAGAATTTACGTTAAAGTTTTTGTAATAGTTCAAATATTTTCAAAGTCTATTGACATATGGCTTTGAAACTTTGCACACTTGTTCACCATCATGACCCCAACCTGTAGACAGGAGGAGGTAACTCTATCAAGCATTTTGACAGAATTATGCTCCTTTTTCGACTTAGAATTTACGTTTAAGTTTTGTAATAGTTCAAATATTTTCAAAGTCCATAGACATATGGCTTTGAAACTTTGCACACTTGTTCACCATCATGACCCCAACCTGTAGACAGGAGGAGGTAACTCTATCAAGCATTTTGACAGAATTATGCCCCTTTTTCGACTTAGAATTTACGTTAAAGTTTTTGTAATAGTTCAAATATTTTCAAAGTCCATAGACATATGGCTTTGAAACTTTGCACACTTGTTCACCATCATGACCCCAACCTGTAAACAGGAGGAGGTAACTCTATCAAGCATTTTGACAGAATTATGCCCCTTTTTCGACTTAGAATTTACGTTAAAGTTTTTGTAATAGTTCAAAATATTTTCAAAGTCCATTGACATATGGCTTTGAAACTTTGCACACTTGTTCACCATCATGACCCCAACCTGTAAACAGGAGGAGGTAACTGTATCAAGCATTTTTTTTGCATTTTGACA